AGTGAAACTTTTTTTTTTTTTGTCTTTTTTCCATGTCCGGCAATGGATCGCAACCCTCAGTGTCGTCCCCGTACCGGACCGGGACCGGCAACGGGATCGCAACCCTCGGTGTTGCCCCTGCGCCTCGCTCAGCCAGTGAGCGGGAACCGGTCTGTATGTGGGATCCGAACCCTCGGCGGGAGCGCTGCTGCGCTTCCCAAGCGGCGCACTAGCGCAGTGCGCCACCGGGCCGGCCCGTCATTTACAAACTTTAATGCAAAGTATTAAAAAAGTTGTTAGATGGCAACAGGGTACTGCTTTTTAGAGAAGCAGAAAGTCTCTACATCAGGGCTCTTGGGATTTCGGTTAATTACTCTGTGACCAGGTGGTATAGTGGTTTAACTCATCAGCATTTTCTACCAGTGGTTGCAAGAATCTGGGAGAGTTTGCTAATGCCAGGTTAGCGCACAAAAAAACCAGTCAAGATCAAGAGCTTAGGGCTTCTGCCAGAACAACCTCCAGCGAAGAGAGTACATACCCAACTACACGGTCAAAGCCAAGTTACTGCTTTCACAGGTTTATAACTGCTTCTCTCACCTTTAAATAGGCCATCGTGAGGAGTGGCAATAAGGTAAATGGCACCAAATAGAGAAGGGCAGGCTGGGCAGCTCGGTGAATGCGAGACGCCACAGTAGCAGTGAGCAGACCTATTTGGAAAGAGAGACATTCATGAGTAACTCCAAGGGGCCATCCCTGAGAGAGGAGAGAGAAACTCTGTCATCTGGCTGCTTCTTGGCAAAGTCCTGAAATTGTATAGATCTAACATGACATATTCCACCCTAGGCTAGGATGTGAAATGCCCAGCTTGAGCAGTAAAAAAAAAAAAAAAAGTGGAACAGCACAGCTTTAAAAAAACCTAGATGTCCAAGGACCCATGACTGACCCAAGTCCCACTTTGTTCAGGTTCCTGGGTTCAAACCCTCCTCTCAGCCCTGAATGTGCCTGGTCGCCCTCTGTCTCCTGTGGTGTGTGGTGCTGGACTTGGAGGCAAAGACCTGGGTTCAAATTCCAGCTCTGTTACTCACAATAGCTATGTAACCCTGGTTCAGGCATTTCACCTCTCTGAGTCTCAGCCTCATCTCTCTAATGGGGATAATACCACTTGGACTGAAATGAGCCTATGTGTGTTAAATGCTATGGAATGAGGCAAGTGCTGATGTCAAGCAGGAGGCACAAAGGTTGGAGAAAAGCTCAATTCCACTCACTCTGTGGTAGCAGTCGCAGTTGCAGACAGCTTACTGCCACTCCTAGCCTAGTTACAATGGTCTCTTCCTGTCTGCCTAGAAGTCAGCTAGCTAGAGAAAAGCTAGCCCTATAGGGACGATCCTAGGTCAGAGGTGACAGAAATGTTAGAACTAATGAAGGCAAATACCTGTGTAATAAAGTAGGAAATAAACATGATATTCATTAAACTCAAGAAGATTTAAGCAGAGACTAATCCCTGAGCATTATGTTGTATGTATCCTTGGCTATGAGGACTAACCATGCTCTTCCTGCAATGTTCTTCAGACATATTGTTGGATAGCGAACTGGGCTATCCAGTATAGAGAGCATTTATCATCTCATGGGCCAGGAAGGTTTCTTTTTGGTTATCTATAATAGCAACCAGAGTTACCATTCTCCTGTTCAGCGCTTGCAGCTAGAAAATCTGACTTAATTCCGAGGGTCAGAGGACAACAAGAGGGGATCATCTGTAGTCTCTCTTACCTACAAAGTATCCGATGAGGGTGCAGTGAAAGTAGGAGACCTTCTGCATGCGCCCAGAGATGTTGGCGGGTCCAGAAGCACCACAGGAGTCACCACTGGCTTGTTTTTTGTAGTTGTCATAGCGAAGGACAAAGCACAACAGGAGACCGGGCATCACAATGTCTCCAATGCCCAACATAGAGAAGTGACTGCCGGTGGAGCTGGAATGTAGTTTCATGTGTTAGGGATGCCATACTCTACAATCCAATTTCTATTCCTTCTGTACAAAGTCTGTCAGATTCTAAGAAGCCAAAGAACTTATCTGAATGACAGATGGAAGTCTCTACTGGTTGAACACTAGTTTTTGAGAGTTTAGAGATTAAAAGCCACAAGAGAGGGCCGGCCCGGTGGCGCACTCGGTAGAGTGCGGTGCTTGGGAGTGTGGCGGCGCTCCCGCCGAGGGTTCGGATCCCATATAGAGACCGGTCCGCTCACTGGTTGAGCGCGGTGCGGGCGTGACACCGAGGGTTGCGATCCCGTTGCCGGTCACGAAAAAAGACAAAAAGAAAAAAAAAAAAAAAAAAAAACCA